GGAAAAAAAAAAGCAACTCATTGATGTCAAGTCGATTTGACTCATAGTGACCCCTCCTTGGTTCTCCAAGGCAGTATCTCTATAGCAGTAGATTGCCCAGTCTTCCTTCTGAGGAGTGGCTGGTGGGTTTGAACCAGGAGCCTTCTGGTTAGCAGTCAAATGCCTTAGACACTACGTCACCAGAGCTCTCTCATAGTAGAGTCAACTTTAATGATGTGGGAAACGGCTTGGATGTCATTTGTTCCTTGAATCCTTCTTTGAATTTCCCATTCTGGATTAGATATCCCATCTGTGTGCTCCCATAGCATCACTCCCACTTTTCTGGGCCCCTGCTTTTATCCCCCAACTGGGGCCATATTTTTTTCCCTTTCATGGTACTTACTCTTTACGTACTAACTAACCAACCCACTGCCATCGAGTCAATTCCAACTCATAGTGACACTATAGGACATAGTGTTTCCAAGGCTGTAAATCTTTATGGAAGCCAACTGACTGTCTCATCTTTCTCCTGCAGCATGGCTGGTGGATTTGAACCACTGAGTTTTTGGTCAGCAGTCCAATGCTTTAACTACAGTGCCACCAGAGCTTCTTATTCCTGACATAATCAACCATTTATATATACTATCTCTCTGCTATCTGAAGAAGGGGGTTTGTGTCTACATTTTCCCCAGCACCAAGCATAGTATCCAGTGTAAAGTGGATGCTCATTAAATAGTTGTTATAAGAAAGTGCACAAAATTAAATATTTCACTTCTTTCTCTCTGTGCTATCCTTATGTGCTGTCACAGTTAGACCACTGATGTCCTTTGTCTCACTCTGTGACTCTGGGCAGACTTGCCAGTCATGAGCAGTTCAAGTAGTAAAGCATTCAGATAATCACTTTTTATCTTTCATCAGCAACAGCTTCTTTCCCACCAAAGATGCACGTGTGTATGCACATCTATGCCCAAACCTACGTGTGGATGAAGGGAAGAAAAGCATGTACTGTCGAGTACTGGAAAACATACCTGCATTTCGCAGGAAGCGATTTCTGTAGTCCTTGATTATCCTCGTGGTCGGGTTATAGAACCCGTCTCCACAGTCATAACAGCCTTCGGGGATTTTTCTGGGCGGGTCCATATTGGTGAGTTGAGAGATACCTTAAAAGGATATAAAGAACAGTTAATTTACCACCTGGGCCAAATCCAAACCTGATCCCCCCTATAAAGTCCACTTTTGCTCATGTGAATCTTTGATTCCACTGTTGGAATAAATACTACCTATACTCTGGTAGCATAGTGGCTAAGACACTTGCCTGCTAACCAGACGGCTGGCGGTTCAAACCCACCAGCCACTCCTCTGAAGGAAGGTTGGGCAATCCTACTTCCATAGTGATACTGCCTAGGAAACCCAAGGAGGGGTCGCTATGAGTCGGGGCTGACTCGACGGCACGT